GGGGGGCGGAGCTGGGTGTGGGCTGTGGGTGCCTGGGGGATGTCACAAGTCCCTCCTCTGACCGAAGACCAGCTTTACTGCCTGTCCACACCTAGGGAGCCTGGAGCATCCCCACCGTGGCATTTCGTCCTCGGCGAGGGGGCGGGGGGGGGGGGCTGGGGGCCGGCCACGGCATTGTGCGCTCCGGTCCCACGTCTGTCCCCCAGGCCCAGCCCAGCCGTGATGTGCCCCTGAGCCCTGGATACCCATTAGGCCTGAGTGCCCTGTGCTGTCTGCCTGGGGCAGTTCGGGCCTTGGCCAGCACTCGGCTATGGAGCCCTTGTCAGCTCAGGGCTGGGGGCCCGGGGCGGGTCGACTCTTGTACACCGAAAAGCTTGACTCCCTTAGGGTCTCGAGACCACCCACCTTTGGGCAGAGGTGTGGGGCCAGCCTGTGCCCTGTCGGAGGCTGGTTCACATCCCTGGGCTCTGCCCGCCGCCTGCCAGTGGCTCCCCTGCCCTCACGGAGGCGGCTCCGGGCACTGCCAGGCGTCCCTGCAGGGCCAGGGCAAGCGCTGCTGCGGGTGGCCTGGGTCCAGAACTCAGGGCCCCTCGCCTCTTCCTGCCCCTCCAGGACCCAAAGCCTGACCGGTAGTTACACACGGTCTCCCAAAGAGACGCCCATATATCTTGGCCCATCTCACTCTGGCTTTGCAGAAACTGGATAGATTTTTCAGGTTAAGATGCACGTTTGAAATAATTGAAACCTTTTAAAAGCAAAAGCCAATATGGGCCGTCACCTCTCAAGGTTTGTACAAGTAATCCACGTGCATTGTGGCTATCCGAGGCCACCTCTGACGGTTCCCACGTGGATTGATGTTGGTATGGCCCTGGTGTGGTCGCTTCTCTCCGTGCGGTCAAGTGCACAGTCAAGTGCGGTCTGTGCGGGCCAGGTGAAGTCCACGAGGTACATCAGCCTGAGCACACTAGGGCCTGTGGTGACCGGGGGTCTGAGGTCACGGGGTGTGAGTTTCTACACAGCTCGCTGTCCTGTCCTAAGCTTGCTCTGGGCCAGACACTAGTAAGTCAGACGCTACGACGCGGGAGCCGTATCCCACGCCCCGCTGAGGAAACCGAGGCAAGGAGGGTGTAACTTGGCTCGTGATGGAGCATAGAGGCGGGCGGGGAGCCGTCTGCCAGCCTGAGCCCGAGTGCCGCCCGTGGCTGTCGGAGGTGCTCCTGGGATTAGCCTTGTCCCCCACCGTACGGGCGTGGAAGCCGAGGCTCGTGGAGGTGAACTACCTTATCCGGGGTCTGGGGCTCACGAAGGAGTCAGAATCCGGGCTACACCCTGCCTGCTTCCCCCATCTGTCCACACACCTCAGTCCTGGTCTGGCGAGAGCCCCGTACGTTTTCGTTGTTCATTTGTCTGTCGGGCAGCAAGAGCCGTCTGTCCTCCGCCACTAGAGGTGGCGAGCATGTCTTGGAACACGTGGGCCTCCGCTCTGTCAGACGACAGCTTGCTACTAAAGCAAGAGTAACTTGTCAGTTAAAAGTGATGGAGGGTGTTGGCTAACCCGTGTCCCCGTCAGGACGTTTAAACGCGTCTGTAAACACTCCATACACCCATCCACCTGTTGCCGTGGCCAAGGTCGAAAAGCGTATGTGTTAAGCTGGACGGTATGAGTGCACACAGAATCTTCATTCTGGCGTTTGTAAGATGCCTGAGCTGCTTTACTGTTTCTGAAAGGGCCGCGTGTTAAGTCAGCTAGATGCTTCTAAATGATCTCTGTTGCAGGAAGCACGCAGGTCATATTCGGCAATGGGACGAAGAGATGTCACATCCGATGGAAAACCGGCCTTTCCGGCATGGCTTCGAGTAAACAGTCCGCACAGTAGTGCCGTGTTTTTACGCGGACGGTGTGCTGGGCTTTTAGCGGCGTTCTCGCCGAGCGCATCCTGTGCCGTCCTGTCTTTTCTCATGCTTGACTTTTTTGTCTCTGATTGTAGGAGAAAACCAAAGAACTGGCGGAGAAGCAGGCGCACCTGTAAGTATGGCCCAGCCGTTGCACCTGTCCCTTAGGGAGCTAGTTCCCCAGCAGACTTGCACCTCCCTGTGGAGCCTGGGGGGCCCCTGACGTCTCCGGGGTCAGCTGCGTGCTGCTGTCCACCTGTCCTTCTGCCTCAGAGTGGCTGTTTCCATTTCTGCGCTCACCAGCCCAGGAAGCACTGTATTCGGGGAGTTTCTCCAGAGCACCTGTAAGACCGAGGGGGCGAGGTCCCCTCTGCAGCCTTGTCGTGCCCTCACTTCCCTGACGACTGTGCCAAAGCAAACCTGCCGCCTCAGGAAGTTGTGCAACCCTGATGTTGAGAGAAGGCGGCACGTCTCTGTTCTCCCACGTCTGTTTTCCCAGAGAGCGCTGTTCGTGCTCACAGCACTGCTGGGACTTGGGAAGCTGTTTGGCATTAACAGCGAAGACGTGTATATGCTGCGACCCAATACAGCATATTGGGTCTCCCGAGCGGGCACCACGGAGAAGGCTTCCCACGGAGGGCAGGAGGTGTGCTCTCAAGGCCTTATTTGTAAGTGACCAGGTTGGCAGAGGGCCGTGTATTTGTACGGCGGACGCTTGGCGACGGTGAGAGCGAACGCACCATGTGCTCCGTCCGTGTGTCGGAATCTGAAAACCGTGTGGAGCAGACAGGGCACCCGCACGTAAAGTCCACAGCGAAGCTGTCCGGCCAAGGAACGGACACATGTGGTAACACCCCAAAGGAGAGCCACGTTGAGGGGGCTCGTCACTGCCCGTCGTCAGGGAAGGGCACACGGGACCTTAAGTCACACGTTGGTTCACTCCCGTTGATGCCTCTGCTATAAAGACCATCTGTCAAGCATGCCGTTGGCGGTACATGTCTGCTCAGGCGTCCTCCGTGGTCCCCGGAAGGGAAAGGAACAATCGTCACCGCCCCCCTTTCGAAGGGAGGGATGCAAGCCTGGGTCAGGAGCAGCACAGGTCTGGTGTGGCCCAGCGGTCCCACCCGAGCTGGAAGTTGAGCACAGGGTTCCTGGCACTCTTCGGCGTGCGCTCTCTGGCTCCCGTTGACATCGGAAAGCTGGAGCGACTTCTGCGGAAGTGTTTGCTGATGAGCGATGTGCCTCTGAGGCGTGAGGCGGCACGGGGAGGCCCGGCCCTGCCGCCCAGCTCACCGGGGCAGCGCTCAGCATGGCCCGGGCCCCACGGGGGAGTCCGGCATCAGAGGGTGGCGGCCGGCTCACCCGCGCCGGAGGGAACGGCACAGGCCTAGTGCACTGGGCGGCCTGTATCGCGTAGGTTTCCCACGTGAGGGGCTGGCCTTGGGGGCCCGGTGACAGGTGTGGCGGCCTCACCCCCAGCCCCTTGCTTTGCTCCGGGACAGCCGGGCTTCCGGGGCAGGGGTGGGGTGTGGAGGTGATGGAGCTGAGGTTTCAGGGGCTCGTGCTGCCCCTTCCCTCCTCAGTGCCGCCTCCCACATCGGTGCCTGTGCTGTGGCACCCTGCTCACAGGGGAACCAAGGCCTTTCCTGCAGCAGCTCATGCCCATTTTGGGTTCCAGAACTTGTGTTGTTAGGGCCTAAAAATGCCTGTGTCCATCGGCAGGGATTGCTCCTTCTCCCTCCTTTTTAAAAAATTACGAATCGGGGCACCTGGGTGGCTCGGTTGAGCGTCCGACTTCGGCTCAGGTCATGATCTCGTGGTCCGTGAGTTCAGGCCCTGCATCGGGCTCTTGTGCTGACAGCTTGGAGGCTGGAACCTGCTTCGGATTCTGTGTGTGTGTGTGTCTCTCTCTCTGCTGCTTCCCTAGTCACGCTCTGTTTCTCTGTCAAAAATAAACATTAAAAAAAATTAAAATTAGGAATCACCTCCAAAATATAGAAAAGCACAGACTATTAACCACCCAAGAATCCATACCTGAATTTCACATTAACATTTTGCCTCACGGGTGTCAGAGCTTTGTGCGGGGTGGTTCTGTTTAAATTTCAAACGACTGTGGACTTTCACTACACACTTTTGCTGCCCCTGTGATCACGCCTTTTTTTCTGGGAACGCACGAATGTGGGTGCTGCGTTACCAAGTTTTCTGGACCACGACTGAATCCCTGGGAGTAAACCCTTTGTGATGGCTGAGTTTTTAGGAGGCCGAGGTTCAGTTGGTTGATGTTTTAATGAGGGTTTTCCCATCTGAATTCACAGGTCACATTAATCTGTGATTTTTTATTCGTGGCCTTTGTCTGCAATAACAGGGTTCGCAGAGACTGAACCGGGCCACCCTGTGTGTTTTCAGTTCCCTGCATTGGTTTGTCTGAGGTGTGGACTCAGCTCTCACAGGTTTGCTCCAGGTACGAAGTACTTCCCTGTAAAAGTGTCTGGACGGCCCGGTTTTGCTGAACCCATTTCTTCGGTGATTATTGGCGTATCTAGTTTTCTGGTTCTGCTTATGCTGATGTCGGTAATTTTTACTTTCGTTTTCAAAGTTACTGGAATAAAGGTGTTCGTCCTGTTCTCTTTGGAGTTTTCACGTCTCGTGTATTTGTAGCCATCCCAGCATTTACGTTGGTTGTATCTCCTTCCTCTTCCCTCCCTTTGAATTATCTTCCCAGGGATTCGTCTGTTGTCGTGTGTTTAAAAGGGCCAATTTTGTCGTTTCTCCTTAGGGTTTCTTCGATTTCTATTCCGTGAAGGTCTTTATCGTTTCCTATTCTTGCATAATTTCTGTTTTAATTTTCTCTTTGATTCGTTAATTATTCAGAACAATATTTGAATTTCTTAAATTTGTATTGACAAAAACGCTTTCTATTTTCTTGCCAAGTAATAATTTCCCTTCGATATGCTTCCCATATGGATTAAAAACAATTAGATCGCGGGCGCCTGGCTGGCTCCGTTAGGTGGAGCATGTGACTCTTGATCCCAAGGTTGTGAATTCAAGCCCCATGTTGGGCGTGGAGCCTACTTTAAAAAAAATTGCATCAGAGCAGTGATTGATTTGATCCGGTTTGGTTTATTTTTATTGTGGTAAGAACACTTGACATGAGCGTAGTACGCCTTAGCGTTTTGAGGTGTCGGTTAGTCGTTTCTGGTTTCTCCGTCCCCGCCCCAGCCCCTGGCAGCCGCCATTCTGCCCTCTGAGTCCATGAGTTGGACTGTTGAGAAATGTCACCTGAGCCACATCATGCAGTATTTTTTCTTCTGTGATTGGCTTATTTTGCTTAGCATAATGTCTTCAAGGTTCATCCGTGCTGTCGCGTTATTGCAGGATTTCCTTTATTTTTCAATAATTTTTTTTTTATTTTTTTTATTTTTCAACGTTTATTTATTTTTGAGGCAGAGAGAGACAGAGCATGAATGGGGGAGGGTCAGAGAGAGGGAGACACAGAATCTGAAACAGGCTCCAGGCTCTGAGCTGTCAGCACAGAGCCTGACGCGGGGCTCAAACTCACAGACCGTGAGATCATGACCTGAGCTGAAGTCGGCCGCCCAACCGACTGAGCCACCCAGGCGCCCCTCCTTTATTTTTTAAAAGCTGAATACCATTTCATTGTGTCCCGTACCAGATTTTCTTTACCCCTCCCTCCCTCCCTCGGTGGACATTTCGTGTGGCTCTGTGTCGTCCTTCTCGCGCCTGGTGCTGCGCTGAGCAGTGGTGCGAATACCTCTTGGAGATGCTGATTTCAGTTCTTGCGGGGAAGTAGGCAGGAGCGGAACTGCCGGGTCCTCGGGCCGATTTTGAGGAGCCTCCACACTGTTCTCCACAGCGGCCGCGCCGTTCCTGGTCTGCACTCCCGCCAACGACGCAGGAGGGTTCCACCTTCTCCACACCCTCACTGACGCTTGTTACCTCTTGTCCTTCTGACCATGGCCATTCCAACGGGGGTGAGGTGACAGCTCATCGTGGTTTTGGTTTGCGTTTACCGGGTGGTGAGCGATGGTGAGCGCCTTTTCACGAGCCTGTCGGCCACCTGGATGTCTTTTTTGGAGACCTGTCTGTTCGAGTCTTAAACCTTTTCTTGAATCGGGTCGTGAGTTTTTTTACTTTCGAGTTACAGGGTTTCGTTATGTGTTTTGGAAATTAACCACTTAGCAGATGGATGGTTTACAAATCTCTCTCCCACACTGTAGGTTGCTTTTTCACCCTGTTGGAGGTTTTCTCTGCTGTGCAGAAGCTTTTCAGTTGGACGTAGGCCCACTTGTCTATTTTTGCTTTCGGTGCCTGTGTCTTTGGAGTCCTATCCGTGAAATCGCTCCCACTCGGTGCTCACCTGAAGGGATAGGCCGGACCCGTTGCCCGGTGTTTGTGCCCCAAGCGTGTGGCCTGCGGCTGGCAGGTGCCGTGCCTTCGGGGCCACCTCGCCGGGGTTCGACACCGAAACTCCAGCTGCCAATACCTGGTGGTTTATTTTTCGGTAGAGCCCGTCCGTCCTTTAGAGTTCTGAGAAGGTGACATCGAGAGGGGCAGTGAACGTGGAAAACAAAATGGAATCAGGCTCTGAAGCCCCAGGTTAATCCTTTTCTAACAACCCCAAACTCTTTGTGGCTACGCGCCTGCCTGCGTATGCAAATGGGCGCGGAGCACAAATGTGGAGGAAGAGCATGGGGAGCACGGTGAGCACGAGCGTGCGGAGCACAGACGCGGAGAAACAGCGCGAGGAGCTGTGCAGGAGCCGCAGCCCCGAGCAATGAAAACGAGGAGACGGAAGAGAGGTCGCACCGTCGGGGGCACAAGCGGAGTTGTGTCAGAACAACAAAACCAAAACCGCAGGCACGAGAGGAAGTGCGACAGGGAGCCCGAGGCCCCTCCGTCTGGGCCCGTGGTGGCTGCCCCAGGGGACGACGCAGCCTCGTCAGCCCGCCACCCGTAGGGCCCCCACGGCTTTGCCCGTGAGCCTCGTTGGCCGGACCCCGGACGCCACCCTCACGAACGCGCGCAGCTGCTCCGGCCGTGCCCCTGGGACTGCGGGTCAGCCTGCCCCGTGTCACCCCTACCCAAGCCCGAGTCACAGCTGGGCGGGGCGATTTGCCGGCGGACGGATCTCTGCTCACCCGTCAGAACAGTCCAGTGGGTGTGGTGGCGGCACCAGCGCGACATCCTGGCTGCGGGCGCCTCGGGGGTGTCCTCACAGGCCGTCACAGGACAACCCGCGGAACCGCTTCCGCACAGCGGGTGGGACGACACGAGGGACTGTGCCCAGGAGGATGGCCGTCGACCTCTGAAACGGGAAATTTCCCGAGCTCGGCACAGCCTCGCCCCGTCCACCCCTCAGACTCCTCAACCGGTGGTTGAGTGGGGCCGGTGCTGGGGAGCTTCCTCTCCCAGCCAGTGCCCCCAGACACGAGGTCCTGCATCCTAGGGATCTGCGCTTGGCGGGAGCCCACCGGACCCCGGGGGCGAGTGGCCCGGAGGAGCCTCTAGGTGCCGGCCTGGGAGAGGAGCGCCTCTGGGGCCACCTCCACCCCAGGCTGGCCGTCCCCAGGCTCGTAAGGGGAGCAGAGGGACGAGGAGCTTCTCGCCCCGTGCCTGGCGCCTGGCAGCTTCTGTTTGGACCGCCGCAGGGACACATGCTTGGCCCTGGCGGAAGAGGCCATGTGACGAGCGTGTGGCGGCTCCAGGAGCCGCGGCCATCGTGGAGTCCTTTTTCTAACAATTCCCTCTCAATCTTCAAATGACACGCTCTGATGGCTGCTTTTGGATGCACGGACTTCAGGCATCGTTGGGCTTTTAACAAGGTAGTTCCCAGCTAGTCTCGCCCCTGCGCCTCCTGGAATAGAGGCATTACCGTTCGTTCAGTTCGTCACGTGAACTTCACACGCGAAAACTCCCGTCTCTCGTACACGAACGACACACTCGTGCTGCTCGTCCTGACAGCCGTGCGCCCCATCTCTCCGAGCACATGCGCTTGCACGCGCCGCCCCCCCGAGCCTCCTTCATTATCTCCTCCGGAAACCAAAGATGTGAAAACAGTTTGTTGACGAGAGTCACTGGCACTGGCCGTGGGTGCTGGTGTCCTTCCTGCGAGGTCGGAGGTTTGTAGACGGGCCTCTGGCTGTCACGGGTCGAACGGCTTATATTTGTACCTCATTTCCCAGCGTGACGCCGGGAGGCCGACAGGTCACGGCTGGTTGGGGTGGCGTCCCGCTGAGCAGAACACCCTTCCGTGCAGAGTGTAGCGCGTTCGGCCTCCCTGGGTGGCGGCCACGAGTAACCGTTTGTCTTGTGTCTCGGCAGCCAGGAGCCCATCTCTCTGGCCGGCTTTACCATGGCTGGCCTGGTTCCAGACCTGCAGCACATCCTCTTCTGGATGTCTAACTCGGTCGAGCTTCTGTACTTCATCCAGCAGAAGTGCCCGCTCTACATGCAGACCTGGGAGGAGGAGCTGGATGTCACAGGTACCGCCGGGGAGCGGGGCGCGCGCCCCGTCGCCTTGCCGTCCAGCCGCTAGAACAGAGGTGGCCTCGTGTCAGGGCTCCCCACGCGAGGGGGTGACACTGGCGGTCGGGCCAACCCGGCTCTTCGCGTCGTCCTTTCACGCACAGCGTGCTGCCTGGGGGGCGGTGGACACAGGCCTCCCGTGTGCCCCTGCGGGAAGAGGACGGTGCGTCGGCCCTGGGCCGTCCCTTACGGGTGCACCCGTTTCAGAGAGCAGCCACACTGCCGTTGGGGGCCGCGACTGTGACCGTGACTTGCTGGCTTTGGGGGCCTCACCTGCCCGGGGAGCCCGCGTCAGGTTGTGTGAGCTGAAAACAGAGACCGAGGGGGGCAGTCCTGGCGGGCTTCATGAAGAAGGTGGCACGGGCCGGGCCCCGAGGCCGGGTGGGATTTCAGCGGCTGTGTGTCTGCATAGCGGGTGGTGGAACGAGTCGCAGGGCCGTCCCAGGGGCTGGACCACAGCCTCAAGTGGGGGAGACTGGTTTCGCCCCACGCTTGCTCGCTCCTCTGTGGCGGAAACAGAGCCGCTCCTTTCCCCGTATCCCTGTCGTGGGGCTTCGGCAGCAGAAGCTGCAGGGGATCCCGGGTAGGCGTGGTTGGCAGCCGGCCTCTGGAGGCTGCACCCAGAGCTGGGAAGGAAGCCAGGCAGGCAGGCGGGCCGGGGCCTGGCCAAGGCTCCCCCGTGGGGTCGGTCTGCCAGGCCCTGCACGGTGTCCGTGTGCTCGGCTGTGTCTCCGAGGAGGCGGCCGCGGGTTCCCGGTGAGAGGGCCCCGAACCCCGCTCAGGCGGCACGGGGTCCTGCCGTGCCCCTGCTAGGAGGGGCTCCTGGCGGTGACGGTGAGAGGCCGCGGTCTGTGTGGCACAGGCTCTCCCACCTCGTGCCAGGCTGGTGTCTGGCCTCGCGAGCCAGCTGAGGAGGCCGGGCTGGCAGGTGGGGGCCGAGGGGAGGCCGAGCCAGCGGGCGTGGCTACGTGTCTTCTTGTTACATGTGGTTTCTTAGTGTTTTCTGGTCCTCCGCTTCACAGCGTAGGGGACATCGGGAACGTTCCTGGGCTTCCGTGGGTACGCAGAGGGAAGCAGCGGGTCCTTCTGCGTCCCCGTGGCCATTCGGGCCCGCTGGCCTGCGGCCTGCAACCCTCTTTGCCTTTGGGCGGACGTTGCACCAGATGTGCACCTTGACCTCCCAGGGTGGGCTGCTCTCTGTGCACAAACCTGTGGCCGCTGCTGACCCGGCTTTTCCCCCGAGCGTCAGGTGAACAGCCACCTCTGTGTGTCCCCAAAGCCAGGGCAGTCGCTCTGTTCCAGCGGCCTGGGCCGTCCTGAGCTCAGTGCTCCCGGGCCCCGGGCCCCTCTCTCTCCAGAGCCTGCTTGTCGTCCTCGGGGGGCCCCAGCTTTTCCGAGCAGAGGGGCCTCTCTTCTGGACATGGCCCCGGCCAGTGAGCACCTGGGCCTCCGGCCGGTCTGTAAGCACCTGTGGTCCTTCTGTACTAGAGGTTAGGCGGTCGGGGTGCAGCCGGGGCGCCCTTCCTGCTCTGGCTCCAGCAGGCAGCCGGGAGAGCTGCCCCCTCCACGGTTCTCCGGCACAACGTTCGTGGGCGGGTCCTGCTCACGCCCCTTCTCATCTGGCCTAATCTCAGACGCTGTGGTCTTTGGGCCCCACCGGGCCTGCCTCCCCAGGCCAGGGACCCCGCATCGGGCTGATTTTCATGAAAAAAGCTATCTGGGGTTGACGGGGGCTCTGCTTCCTCAGCTGCCGCCTCTGCTCTCAGAGGAAGTTATTTTTGGGCCCGGGCCTGGGTGTCCTGTAGCCCGGTCGATGCTGGGAGAGCAAGGCTGGGGATGGCCGGGGTCCCGCCGCCTCCGCCCGCCCCTGGGACCGCTCGGGGCCGGGGGAGCCACGGCAGGATCTGAATGTCCCACAAACAGCGTCCTGTGCGGTGCAGGCGCCGGAGAGCGCTGAGGAAAAAATAACATCACCAGAGGGCAAAGGCAAGGTTAGAGCCGCGTCTCGGCCTCCTGACCTGCAGCGGGAAATTTCTGTGGGAAGAATTCTGAAAACAGATGTCACGTCCTGAACGCTGGAAAATCGCCTTTTCGTTCCGCAAACAGTCTTTGTCTGAAGCTCTTACCCAGGACGCCTCGCTCACGCAGGCACACGGAAGGCGGGCCCCACAGGGGAGGGGATGTTTGGAGAGTCTTTGGGGAGCCCTCGCGGCTCTGCCTCAGCACCTACACATTTAGGGGCGTCGAGGCGTGGGCCCCGTCCCCTAAAAGGCTCAGGGGGGCCTCTGCTTAGCCTGTAGCATTTCTGCTGGCTTTCCAGTGATGTGGGAGGGACTGTGGCGGCATCTGTGTCTCCCTGTGGCCGCCGAGTCCTGGCCTCCTCTTCCCGTCATCCCTCCTCCTGCCAGAGCCCCCACACCCACACGGGGACAGGCCGGGACAGGCTCGTAGCCTGCAGGGTGGCGCCCAGGCCCAGCTACGGTGGAAGGGTTTGGAACTGGTTTCTTGGCCTCGTTCCTACTGGCTTCGGGTGGCTGTGAGTGGTGGATGGTCTGCGGGTCTCAGGGGCAGCAGTGGGCAGCTTTGCGTGTTCCTCTCGGCCTGGGAGGCTGCAGTGGGTCGGGGAGCACCCGGGGACCCTCATGGTGTCTGGGTTGCCTCTCCTCTGAAGGCCAGTGAGGCCGCAGGAGCATCCAGATCCCGTGGGGGTGGGTCCCACGAGACCCCACAGGCTGGGCTCTAGGGAGGACCCCCGGCAGGCGAGGCAGGCCTCTGGCTTCCCAATCCAGACAGATTCCTGGGGCCTGAGCCCTTGGGGTGTGTTCTGTGGGTCCAGGGGCAGGAGAGCCCCGAGTCCTAGAAGTGTCTCGAACAGTGGTTCATCCGGATATTTTAGGGATGGGGTCTCTGATGGCCTTGTATGCCGTTTCCATTCTGTTTGTGCAGCAGTGGGCGGTCTGGGACCCCATACTCCCAGGAGGGCTGCTTCAGTGCTCAGAGCGATTCTGGGCCCCATCGGGCCCAGCACCTCACTCCCTGCTCTGAGAAGAGGTTCCTTTAACGGAAAGGCTGTAGCAGGGGCACCTGGTGGTTCTGTTGGCTGAACGTCTGACTCTCGATTTGGGCTCAGGTCACGGTCTCACGGTTTGTGGGTTTGAGCCCAGGGCTGGGCTCTGCCCTGACAGTGTAGCGCGTACTTGGGATTCTCTCTCTCCTCCCGTCTCTCAGTGCTTCGCTCCTGCTCATGCTCTTTCTCAAAATAAATAATAAACGTTAAAAAAAGAAGAGGCTGTAGCAGAACGAACGGTGGCCGAGAGCCGCGGGTGCCCGTCTGCCCTGGACATACCCATCCGAGCTGCCCGGTTGCAGCTCCTGTAAAGAAGTGCGGATCTGAGGGTGGCGGAGGCGGGGCCTCCAGGCCCCGGGCAGCCCTGCTCGGCGCTGGTGGGACGCTGGGTGCCTCCTGCACCTGGAGGCCCTTCGGGACGGTTCTGCCCTGGTGGGGTGCTCTGGTGTTGGCGTCCCTGCGGCCGATCTGGTGTCTTGACTTCACGGGAACCGCCAGGAGCAAGGAATCGCCTGGCGTCCGCGGAGCCCCTCCTGCCACGCTAGGCGGGCCCCCTGCCGGCCCCCGGGGCTCAGCTCCAGCTACGGTCTGGGGAGGCCCACCCGCTGGGGCCGCATGGAGCCGGGCTGCCTCCCTCCGTGGGGCTGTCCAGCAGCCCGGTCTCGGCTGCGTCTTCTCTGTGGTCTCTCCGGGATGCTGGGGGGAGAATGGGGCTCGTAGGCCGTTTGGATTTCTTTCTTCTTGGAAAAATGTCACAATTCCGTGGAGTGATGGTCTCCTTAGGAGCTTTGGCCAGGTGTTCCTTTGACCTGTGTCCGGAGTGGGAAGTGACCGCAGGCCCTTGGGTCAGAATCCATATTGCTGGGGCCGCTGATTCTACCAGGAAACGTGTCTGGGATCTATCCGTCAATGGGCCACCTGGGCCGGCGTCTCATCCCTGGGCGCCTCGGGGAGGGGTGGCAGTCAGGCTGGGGGTCAGCCGGCCGCGCGAGGCGGCTCCCCAGACCCGAGATGGGACGGGGGCGAGCGCAGTCCGGAGGTAAGCACGCGGTGACCGTGCCCCGCTGTCTCCTCTCAGGCTCCAGGGAGTCCCTGCTTTCCTGCACGCTGACGGCCAGCGAGGAGGCCATGGCGGTGCTGGAGGAGGTCATCCTGTACGCCTTCCAGCAGTGCGTGTACTACGTCTCGAAGGTACGGCACGGCCAGGGTGTGCGCCTCACCCTCCCCTGGGCCGGGAGGGCTGGGGACCTGGGAAGGACGGAGGTGCTTTTGCCACCGTCACCCGAGGGTTTCGAGCTCCGACTGCCACCTCGGCACACCTGAGCCCAGTTCCGGGTCCTCTCCCTCCTGGCCCGCGTCCCCCTCATCCTGGGAGCCGGTGGCTGCGCAAGCGCCAGCAACGTTGGGGAGCAGGAGGGGCGGCTGCTCGGGGACGTGGATGTTGGTGTTCATTGTGGCGACCAGAGGTGGTGTTAGCCTCCGGGTCCGGAGGAGTCACTTACCCTGTCCCAGCACACAGAGCAGGGTGCGGGGGGGGAGTGGAGAGAGCAACAGCCCCTGTGGCGGGTGGCCCCAGCTGGGGGATCCAAGGGGACTTGCCGAGACCGAGCTCTGCCTTGGATTCTGTGGGGGATGTGTCCGCGGAAAGCGAGAGGGGCCGGTTGGACAGGGCACTCTGGGGACAGTTCCCCGTTTGTTCTGCGTGGAGACCCGACACCCGAGTCCGCCAGCTCTGTGGTCAGTTGGCGGCGGCTTCGGGCCCTGTGTGAAGGGTCTGAGCTCGTGTCCTGGCCCAACAGGAGCGAGCCCCCGCCCATGTACTCACATCTGCCCCAGGGGTCCGAGCAGGGCTGCGTACCGCCCTTAACCGGTCTGTCATCCCAGGATCCCCTGGAGGTGTGGTGGCTGCGAGGACCCACCCCCCTGGAGGGGATGCCTTCGCTCGTGTCTGGGGAGCAGCTGTTGGAGTTGCCCCGCCCCCCCCCCCCCCCCCCCGATGAGTGTGGGCGCCCGCAGTGCTGCCCCCCAGGCCTTCAACCAGGACCGTGGCCGTAGCCCCCAGGCTGTTGCCCCTGGCTCAGCTCCCCGGGAGGGGGTGCTCCTGGAGCAGGGGGTGGCGGTGGTCGGGGGCCAGCCAGCAGACCCCCCGGCCCGTTCTGTCTGGCGGATCGGGACCCGTGGGCTGTGCCAGCAGTCCTGCCAGGCTCCCTGCACCTGTGAACGTCACCTGCCCCCGGTGCCCAGAGCTGGAACCGCGTGCCCGGGGGCCAGACGTGCTTGGTTTTCCCTCTTGTTCCCAGTCGCTGTACGTCTGCCTCCCGGCCCTGCTGGAGTGCCCCCCTTTCCAGACGGAGTGCCGGGAGAGCTGGTGCTCGGCGTCCCCGCTGCCGGAGGAGACGCGCCGGGTGGTGTCCGTCTACCAGGCCACCCTGGATCTCCTGCGACAGTTCCAGGTGCACCCCGAGATCGCCTCCCAGGTGCTGGCCTACCTCTTCTTCTTCTCCGGCACGCTGCTCTTCAACCAGCTCCTGGACAAGGGTGAGGCTGGGGGGTGGGGGCCCTCAGCGGCCTTGCCTGGTCCTTCCCCCCCCCCTCTCCCCCGAGCCCCGTGGCTGGGAGCGGAGGGAGGGGCTCAGAGAAGCGACGTGGTCCGTGACCCTGCCTGCTGCCCCCCAGACTCTCCTCGCTTCTGGTGCCAGCTCCTTCGGGCTGGGGGCCCTGCCCGGACTCGGGGAGATGAGAGTGGTGTGAACTTGTGGCCCTCGTGTGTCGCCCGTGTGGCTTTCCCGGGCTGGTCGGGGTCCACAGGCGGGCTCTAGGCCTGACGGGGCCTCGCCGTAGGGGTGCACTCCTCTCCGCTTTCGGGACTCGGTGGCTGTCACAACCCCTCTCTGCCCCCCCCCTTCACCGCCCCCTCCCAGCCCCACCCCGCCCCACCCAAAGAGGGGCCCAGAAGCGGGCCGGTTGCCTTGGAAACCAACAGCAGGTGCCGAGGCCCATTGTCAGAGGCTCGCAGGTGGAGAGGACAGGCCCTCCCTGGGAGAAGGCGGCCAGCACGGCGTCCCCTTCCCGCCCCCTGCAGGCCCCTCTCTGAGTTGCTTCCACTGGCCCAGAGGTGTCCAGGCCTGTGCCCGCTTGCAACAGCTCCTGGAGTGGATGAGGAGCACCGGCTGTGGGGACGCCGGGGAACACTTCTTCCGGAAGCTTTCCTGCACGCTCAACCTGCTGGCCACTCCCCGAGCCCAGCTCATCCAGGTAGGAGGAGCGCACGAGGTGTCACTTCTGGGGTCGCCAGCTCACAGACCAGGCGTGGGCCACGGATGTGGCTTCGGGGCTTCTGAGACCCTGCGGTGTTGCTTCCGTTCCGCTTCTGGTCCCACCCGCAGGCAGGATGAGGCCCCCCGGAGGTCTGTGTCCCCAGTCCCCGACCCCACACGGCACGGGGGATCTGCACGGACCCCGAGATGGGGAGATCACCCTGTCCGGTGGGCCCGGGCTAACCACGCCAGTGCTTAAAGGGGCAGACAGATGGGTCAGATGGAGCACAGGAGGTGGGCCCCGACCGCCCGGCTGGCTCTGAAGAGGGACCGTGGGGCGTCGTGGCCTCCGCAAGTTGGGAACAGCCCGCAGCTGCGGGCCAGTGCAGAAAGGGGAACTTCCGTCCTATCGTCACGAGGAACTGAATCCGCACGACCCACGCCAGCCTTGCTGAGTCCCGGGTGTGGGCCCGACGCCGGCTCGGGGTCTGAGCCTCCAGAACCGCAGAGGATGCGCGCACGGTCATCTGTGGGAAGAATGACAGGAAGCGAGTACGGCACGGTGCCCTCCCGCGGGAGCTACCGGATGGTCGTCACCGATGCTCAATGAAACCAGTGTGTCCTTCCCTGCTTGCAGGACACCACGTGTGCCGAGGGGTGATGCGAGTCTGGGGGGACGGTGGACCTTCCCGTCTGCTGTAAAACCGGAGCGCTTCCCCTCCACTCAAGGACGCAGCACAGAAACCGGGGTGTCGGTCGTCACTGTCGCTCTTAGTATAATGGTGGCCGCGGCTGCCTGGCCGCGCACCTCCGAGGTGTGACCCGCGTAGCGCGTCGTCTCATTTCAACCTCCTCCCGTGACAGTTGCTTCCTGCTGGCTAAGCCCCGGTCCCACGGCCGGTGATGGTTCGGCAGAGACCGAACCTGCCACGTGCTGGGAGCCACGGCTTGTTCCAGTGTCGTTTGAGTTACTTGATTTTGTTCTTCTAATTCTAAAAGCGCAGCAGGAATTCACTAGAGACAATGCACAAGATGGGGACCTCTGCCTGCAGATTGCAACCTGAACCTATGCTTTTGGCCTCCTCCCCAAATACCACTCTGCAAAAGCAAAGCGTAAGCCCACAGGGACCGAGCAGGCCCGGGGAGGAGAAACACCGCGGGGGCCGGAAAGCGGAGGCCGGGGGGTGACTGCCCACGGAAGACGTGGAGCCTCGAGAACAGGGCCGGCGGGGACTGAAGGTCCGTGGGGCGTGCGGCTCTTGATCCTGGGGTTGTGAGTTCGAGCCTTTGGCCCGCGTATAGTAAATACTTGAAATGTTGAAAAAATCGAGAAAATTCCTTGCAGCAAAATTCCACACAGCAGCGTGAATGCCCAGGCCCAGGCCAACGTTAAACACGAGGCTGAGCCACAGTCGGACCCAGAGGGGCACAGCTGGTGATTCCCGGGGTCTGGAACGCAAGAGTGGGCCAAGTGGGGCTGCAGTGGGGGACAGGCCTGCCCGGCAGGGGCCTCCTCGCGCGGCCACACGCTCCCCGCTCTTGCCCTGCGCTGGGAACACAGGCTGTCGTGCTTCACGTCTGTGCGGTTTCTGTGTGTGCTTCGGATCTCAGCGGCCCCTTCCCGCACGGCCGGGCCGGCCCTCCCCCTGCGCTGGCCGAACACCTGTGCTTACTTCTGGAACATTTAAGACAGGGTGTCATCCTGACACCAGAAGTGTCATCCTGAAAAGGAGGGCTGCTGAGGGAGGACAGAGAACCTGCTGCGTGCGGGAGGCCCCGTGCTCTTTGTCACGGGGCTGACCGGACAACGCTGGCGTCAGTGACACCCAGGTAGAGGCTGGAGGACGTGGCCATCTGTCCCACCACGAGCCAGCCTGGCAGACTGAGCACCTGCTCGCTTCCCGCACGAGAGCCGGATGTTGGAGGACGCAGATCCTGGGGCGACAGACTTCTCTGTAAAGGGCCAGGGGGTAGGTAATGTAGCCTCTGTGGGGCACGTACAGTTGCCGTCCAGAATTCTTCGTTGTTTTAAGCCCTTTAAAAAATGTGAACACCACTCTGAGCGTGCAAAACTTTTCCGGGAGAAAAAACTTAACAATTTATATTCTCCTACAGATAAGAAAACCAAAAGGATTTTTGGAAATTCGAACCCTGAGAGTAAAGAGAAAGGGTCCGGTGGCAAGACTGGAAGACAGTCCGGGAAATCTCCCAGACAATAGACAGATGATATGAAGGACAGGGGAGCGTGCTGGGTCCCTCCTGGTGGCTTCTGGGCCTGATGGCTGGCACCCTCCTGACACCAGCCCCAGACAAGGAACAGCCCTGGGAAGGAAGTCTGGATTCTAGGACCTGGGAGAACCAGAAGGAACGGAGCCCGTGTTGGGGGGATGGGGCTCCCAGCTGCGGCCCTACGTCCCCCCCCCCAAAGGAGCCTTAGGAAACGGTTGTTCCTCTGCCGGAGGCACTTGCCCCCCACGGCCCAGGCCTTGTGACCTTGGCAGTAAAGTGAAGCTAGAGGGAAGCCGAGGAGAGGAGGCCAGACGGGACGGGAAAGAGTGGGGACCTGGCAGCCAGGGAGTCAGAGATGGCCGCGCCCACCCCCAGACCCACCTGCCCCGAGGTGCTGGCAAGCGTGGCCGATGGCTGAGCAGTTCCGTGGCTGCACTTGCACAGAGAAGCCCAGGGCTGCCGTGTGGAGACCGTGGGCCAGAGGAGCCTGTGAAATTCCCACAAGAATAAAGACTGGACGCGTCCCGAAGACTAGCCCTCAGCGTGGTTTCCGACTTTCAAGAGCAACGCCAGAAGCCGGGGATACCCGCCGTGGAGGGCGACAGCGTGGGCCGGCCCGCCGACTGCGGGGTCAGCAGTGGTCCTCGGGAAACCTTGGTCAGGAAGCTGTTGGAGCGTCTGTGTCACAAAAATGGGGATTAGCTCAGAGAATTGGAGAGAAGTTTCCAGAAAACAAGGGAGGAGGGGCACCCCTGGCCCATGGAGAGCAGGGTCGAGGGTAACCGTGCCCGTTTTCTTTTGTGGAGCACGAGTCCACCCTTCTCCTCCCCTCCTCCCTTTTGGGCTGCTGGTCCCCCGCCAGGAGGCCTCCCCGTCCTGGAAGGCTTTGCCTTCACGCGCGTCTTCAGCTCCAGGGGTCGGATCTTTTCATACCGTGAGGCAGGAATCCCCAGATCCCCGGGCTCTTTTCCTGGCGTCTCACCCCACGCGGTGCCGTGGGGGGAGGCACGTTCAGGGGACCCAGCCCTCGGGGTGGTGCCTGCTGGCCGCTCCCCAGAACGGCCGTCCCACCTGGTGCTCCCCCCGCCACCCACCCCCCCGGCCCTTTGGGGGCCACGGCCCGGACCCCGTACACTGGCCCCCAGGAAGAAGATCCCCCCCGGGGGGGGGGGGGGGGGGTGCGCGTGGGGCCTCTGACCACACGCTCCTTCTTGTCACCCAGATGAGCTGGGCCAGCCTGAGGGCTGCGTTCCCCGCCCTGAGCCCAGCGCAGCTGCACCGGCTGCTGACACAATACCAGCTGGCCTCCGCCATGGGCCCCATGAGCGCCTGGGAGCCCGATGCCCGGGACAGCCCCGAGGCCTTCAAGTCAGGTGAGCCTGATCAGAGGCGGGAACAAGGGGCCGTGGGGGTCAGGGTGGGAGCAGGGGAGCGCCTCCTGGGGGTACTTCTAGAAGAGCTTACAGAGCCTGCCTCCTCCACCCTGGTGCCCTGGAGGCTATCACAGATGGAGGTCAGGGAGCCCACAGCCCGGTTCCGACTTTGGGGTCAGGTCCAAGGTCCTACCCAACATGGGGACTGAAGGCAGGGCCTCGCTTGGTGCACACAGCCCACCAGGAGGAGAACAGGGTCTCGGCGTTGAGTGCCAAGATGGTGTGTGGGCCCCGCACCCATGTCTGTTCACACGCAGCGTACGTGGATGTGCACGTAACGTTTCTCACGAACAGATGACGTCTCATTGTTAGCATGATGCACGTAACGACAATTAACAGAAGATAGAAGATACGGCTGGAAACAGGGCCTCGGGCTCGGTTCTTCCGTGCCCCGTTGCCCAGGGCATGGCCGGTGGGAGGGACCGCTTGGAGCAGGACTCTGGGCCCCGCTGGCCCCTCGCGCCCCTCCTCACTACCGGGGCCTGTCCCCGGGTGGGCTCTCTGCTCAGAGCTGGTGCAGGTGTTGGCCTTCCCGCCGTCTGAGCGTGCCCATGTTCTGGGACTCAGGGTCCTGGGGACCGTGCAGGATGCAGTCACCATGGGCCTTGGGAGCACCAGAAGGACAGGGTGCGGGGTACAGAGGCAGGGGGAGTTGGGGGCGGGGCAGTGGGGTGAGGCAGCTCGGGCCTCTTCCTGGGTGCTCACTGGGACGCAGAAGGGCCCAGAGTGTGGTTTGGGCAGGTTGCCTTCGCCTGGGTCCCACGCTCCCGTGTCCCCGGTAGCTGCAGTGTCAGGAGGGGGGGTGGCTGGTGGGCCCGGGGAGGGGCTGGGCGTTTCTTCTTGGCCAGCGCGGTCACACCGTCCTCATCGCCGTCGGCAGAGGACGTCCTGGAGTCCTACGAGAACCCCCCGCCCATCGTTCTGCCGAGCGAGGGCTTCCAGGTGAATCTGGAAGCGGACTGCCCGGACGCCGGCGTCTACCAGCAGCTTCTGTACCTGCGCCACTTCCTGTGGAGCCTGCGGAGCAAACCCAGCCCTGGCGCCGGGCCTTCCCAGCCGGGGTGCCTTGAGGTACCGGGGCTGCTCTGGCTTTGATAACGGGGCTGGTGAGGGCAGCCAGCACGGGGCCTGGCTGCTGCCTCTGCGGCGCCTGGGGGTCCCCAGAGGCGGGGGTGGCCCCTGGGGTCTCCCACTGTGGCGGGCCGCTGGGCACCTGAGGCCTTCGTCCCTGTCCCCCCACCCCCAGGGCCCGCAGCACACCCCCGAAGGGCCCCCGGGGGGCCACAGCTGCCCGCTGGTTTCCAGGGGAGCGCGTGAAGCCGGCCAGGTGCGCCCTCCTCCTCCTCCTGCGGGGGCTCCCCGCGCACAGGGCCCTCCAGGAAGGCAGAGCCGCGGGGGCCCCCAGGCTGGCGTCCTGCACGTGGACTCCTCGTGCCTGCTCACGCCTCCCGGCACCCCGCTCGGCCTCGAGCCCGCTGTCCCCGACTGGCCAGAGCCCGGCGGCACCTGTGGGAAAGCGCTCCCGGAAGGGAGGCCGAGCGGGCAGAGTGGCCCCCGAGGTGCAGCTGGGGAAGGTAAGACCTGTCCCCAGGCTCCCAACAGCCCCCAGTCCCCCCCCCCCCCCCCGGCACCTGGGCGGGGCCCCTTTGGGTCACTGTAACCGTGCGGCCCTAGGGGCACGTTTGGCCTGGGCTTCTGGTACCTGCCCACGAACGCCCGTAGCCCATGCTGGGCAGGCTCTAGGGGCCACGTGAGGCGGGCGCAGGGTGGTTCAGGCCCCCGTCGGAGGGCATAGGGTGCACGCACAGCCGCCTGTGGGACGAAGTCCCTCCCCCCAGGGTGGAGGAAGGGACGGCTCAGGTGGTGTGCACCAGGTAGGAGGCTGGGGGTAGGGCCGGGGGGGCCATGAAGTGCAGGGCAGAGCAGCCCCCGGCAGTGCCCCTGCAGACTCCGGGTGTGCCCCAAGGCCAGGGGTCACCTGGGCAGATCCAGGCCTGAGGCAGGGCACCTGCTTGCCGGTGAGGGGACAGCAGCCACACGCTCTGCCCGAAGGCCGGATCTGACCTGTGGGGAGAGAAGGCACAGGACCCTGGGTGGGGGGCCACAGAGCTGACGAGTCCCAGCTCCGGCAGGGGCGGGGTCAGACACGGGGGGGGGGGGGGGGGGAAGGGAGGCGGAGTCACCGCTTAACGGGTAGAGGGAGGGGAAGGGGGACCTGGAGCAGAGCCCACCGTTCAGCCTCTGGAAACAGCCAGGCTCTGGGAGGGGCTGCCGTCCCAGGGCGGTCACGTCACGAGGAGGGAGGACGCACACCCTTTACAGGCACGTGGGGGTGTGGCCCATAGGCGGGGCCGGGATCCGTCACCCACCTTGTGCCCAGATGGGCATCTTGTCGGAGCCGCGGGAGCATTTCCCTGTGGAGGAACAGCGGAGCCCGCGGGGTGGGGACAGGGCGGGACAGTACAGTGCCGACGGCACGAGCCGCCCTCCCCTTCCACCCGCGGCGTCTCTTCTCACCTGCCCAGGAGACGGCGTGGCTCCGGCGGACGAGCCCCCGCCAGCCCTCTCCAGCCGCAGCTCCAGCGCCGAGGACTTCTGCTACGTGTTTGTGGTAGAGCTGGAGCGGGGTCCCTCCGGCCTGGGGATGGGCCTGATCGACGGGATGGTGAGCGGCCCCCTGGGCTCCTCCTGCTCAGGACCGCCCCACGCAGGCCCACGGCTCGCGCGGTCACTGGGAGACCACGGGCGGGCAGGGCAGGGCAGGGCAGGGCCGGCCGCGGGCTCGGGACCGGGCTCAGTGGGGCAGCTCGGTGGCGCTTGAGAGAAGGGCCCGTGCGGCAGCCACTTCCCCGGGCCGGCCGTGTCCCCTCTGTCCTCAGACCTCAGGGTACCGGGCTTGGGTGGGGGGTGGGGGGTGGGTGCTGTCCGGTGTTGCCCGTGCGGACATGGCGGAGGCCACGAGAGCGCCCCCCCCCCCCCCCCCGCCGGGCCCGCCCAGCCCTGAGCTGCTACTTGGCCTGCAGCACACGCCGCTGGGGGCCCCCGGGCTCTACATCCAGACGCTGCTCCCGGGCAGCCCCGCAGCAGCCGACGGCCGCCTGGCCCTGGGTGACCGCATCCTCGAGGTGAACGGCAGCAGCCTGATGGGCGTCGGCTACCTGAGGTACGCCTGCCCTTGGGCCCGGACCGCCCAGCTGTTAGGGGAGCCCGGGCCCCTTAGCCCCGGCCCCCAGCCCACTCTTCGACCTCTGACAACACGGCAGCCCCAGCGGGGCCCCTCGGGGGGGGGGTCCCCAACCCAGGCGCCCCAGGTGCCCCACGCACCCCGAGGCTGGACCCGTGGCGAGTCGGCTACACCACGCGTCTCCCCTGGCCGGCTTTCAGGGCTGTGGACCTGATCCGACACGGAGGAAAGAAGATGCGTTTTCTGGTTGCCAAATCTGACGTGGAGACGGCCAAGAAGATCCGCTTCCGCACCCCACCTCCCTAGGGCGGGCTGGAGGGACAGCTGTGGCGGCCGTGCCGTGTGGTCGCGTCCCCTGCCGTGGATAATGTACATCTTAGTGTATATTTTATTTATATGACAGACGATACGAAGTTGTGACGTTTGTTACAGAGCTTTTATGTTTGAAAATTTTAACGGAAAAGTATAGATTCAATAAACTATCTTTCGTACTCTGAGAGGCTGGTGCTGCGTGCAGCCAGGGGTGGGTGCCGTGCCGGGGTCCCCAGGGCCTCCCCCCTCCCCACCAGCTTGGGAGAGACCCTGGGAGGACACGGGATCGCGGTTTTAACGGAGTCTGTCTGCCCCCCACCCTGCCCAGAAACGAGCAGAGGGGAGGGGGCAGTGGGCACGCCGGTGAGGGGCCCTCCTGGTAATCACAGGCTCGGCACCCGTCCAGGAAATGGTCTAGAACCTCCCTGAGAAAGTTACAGTGAGGGGCTTTACCCACCCTGAGTACCCGGATCTCCTCCCCGCAACTCACGACCCCTCCCAGTTTCTCCTCGGATTGTGGAAGCTGAGGCTCGACCCTAGTACCAAGCTCTTAATCTGCCGTGGGGCTGGTGTCCACTTGGTCACCGTCCCTTCCCGACCGACAGGAAACTCACCTCCTTGGCTACCAGGCGGCCGAGCACGTGCGGGGGCGAGGCCGGGTTCGCGTCGTGGTAATAGCGCGGCTCCGACACGTCCACGCCGGGCGTCTTTAGCAGGGTCCTGCGGCCAGTGTACCCATGGCTCCCGTGTCGTCCTCACAAGTCAAGGCTGGGCTCTGGGCCCGGGTCCTCATCTTTGACAGGAACAGACACCTGGGGGAGAAGGGGTTTCCGGCGGGTCAGTGGCCGACCCGCCCCTCACGTGGAAAGGGGTCTCCTGGAGGGTGCACGGCCACCTGAGTGGTGTCCTAGGTCTGGCGCGGCTCCCTGCTGCCCTCTGGTGGGCGCAGAAGACAGGCGCGCTTGCGTCTGCCCCGGGCCCTTTCAACGTGAGGCTCCGAGATTCCGCCTGGTTGGAAGCACCACCCTCTACTGAGTGCCCCAGACGCCGGGTAAGATGTACTTGCACGAGTTTCATCCTAGGGGCACCCGGGTGGCTCCATCGTGTTCGTGTCCAACTCGGTTTCGGCTCAGGTGGTGATCCCAGGGTCAGGGGATCGGGCCCTGCATTGGACTCTGTGCTACACACGGAGCCTGCCTAAAATTCTGCCTTTCTACCCCGCGTGCGTGCTCTCTCTCTAGACAAAAAACATTTGAAACGTATGATTGAACCCAAGAGATCAATTCTGAGAGCCCCGAATTGCAACAAGGGCACCAGTTCAGAGAGGCCAGCGCAGCCTACGGCCGGCCGGATTACAGGTCTCGGTTCCTCGCTGCTCTGTGCAGAGGAGGTGACGGAGCGTGGAGCCACGTGGCCGTGGGTCCACATACCTCAAGGCCCCCAGGAGCTGGTGCCCGGGGAGAGGCGGCGAAAGCAGAGCTCACGGCAGGGTGAGCTCCCCGGGCCCGTTACACACAATAGCTCGCGAACTGCTCCCAGCCACACCACGGTGGGACGATCAACACATTTTCCAGACGAGGAAATGTGTGCAGGAAGACCGATTTTCTCTGTCTCTAGCCGTTACCCCAATAACGCTCTGGGGGAACAAATGACAGAGCTCCGTGTCTCCAAACAACGGCACCGACTCTCAGCCAGAGGTACTTCCCCACTCCAGGTGGGGTCCAGGTCTGCCCCACGCTTCTCCAGCCCTTGGACCAACAGACCAGCCAGGAACGTTCTCCTTGCAAAGCAAAAGCCAAGAGGCTGAGCCCAGCTCCCAAGCACGTTTCAACCCCCATCACTCCTGCCCACAGTCTGTCCGCCAAAGCGGGTGGGACCGCCAAGCCCACAATCAGCGGGCCACCCGCGGCCCACCCCCCCACTCCCAATCAGGCCACAGCAAGGGTGTGGGTATGGACCCCAAACCCAGGGGAACGAGAAATCGAGGCCACCGAGTCAGCGTGCCCCTCCAGAGCCAGCCGGGATCGGTAGTCGGGTAGTTTGTCTCCAGACGCTTAGGCACCGCAACAGCTCACCCGGCCGAGAACACGCGAAAGCAATGTCTGGGTTGCCTGAGCTCTGTGTGCAGCAGGGAACCCATCTCCTCCAAGTCTGCGCTCACCAACTAGTTAGTACGCAGGTTTTGGACCCACACTGTGTGCGGACGAGCTGCGCGCTGACGATGGCACCGTAGGCAGCTTGCAAAAATACTACTTTTCTCTAAAACATATATTCTCAACCCTGGCCTTCCGTCCTGGAGCTCGAGGCCCACGTGGGGTCGGCGCGGGACAGGGAGAGGTCCGCGGACCCCGGCCTGAAGCTCGCGGCTCACGCGGGGTCGGTGAGGGGTGCGGGGAGCAGCAAAGCCGGGTCTGCCCCATCCCGGGAGGACCAGGGTGTCCCTTGGCGCGCCCCGCCGCGATACCTGGCGCTCTGCTCCGAGGGCGCGTCACCTGTCGCCTGCCGGAAGTCATCCTGAGGCCGACTGTTGGAGAAGCGGGCACCCCTTGCCCGGCCAGTGCCGGGTCCGGGACCCCCCGGCGTCCACCCACCTCCGCGGCTGCCGTTTCTACAGGTGCCCGAGCGGCCAACCGGCAGGGTCCGGGCCTAGGGGCGTGGTGAAGGCGGAGCCGGAGCCGGGGCCGGGCCTGGGGGCGTGGCCGGAGTCGGGGGCGGGGCTGGCCCGGAGACTCGCGCAGCAGCAGCACCACCTGGTGGCCCGGGGGCCCCCTCGCACCGGGTGGAGCTGGGGAGCAGCCTAGGGAGCTGGTGTGCGAGGTGGGAAGCTGACCTCAGTGGCGCTGGGGCAGGAGGCGCCGAGGCTGGGGGCAGTTTCTCGCCCCACCACACCCAGCGTGTCTCCCCCACTTGCTCTAAGGCTCCGAGCAGCAGGCGGGCGTCAGGGTCCCCGGGAACCACGGCCGGAGCCCCCTCTTAACGGCAGGAGGCTGTAGGCCTGAAGTCGCAGCACCTGCAGCCCACCTGGCAGGGGCCCCAGGGCCCATGTAGCAGGAGGCGGGCGAGAAAGGACGCGGAGCCGAGGCCCTTCCGGGGGCAGCTGCACTTCTGGGTCACCCTGCTTCCTCCCTGCCGGTATTCGGGCGGTTCTTTCTGGGACCTCCGGGACGCTGTGGGGACGGAGCAGGCAGGAACGGCCTCCGGTGTCTGGTGTAGCTGCACGAGGGTCCCCAGGGCCAGGTCTCGCAGACCAGCAGTGCACCCCCACTTCTGGCCCTGCCCCCCTGGGTGGAGGAAAGCGCACAGCCCCTGCCTTGTGCACACAGATACTTGCGGAAAGAGGTTTATTTTTGCTGTACCTTTTCTTGCCCGAAACCAGGAACAGCCCGAAACAGACCAAGCAGATGCCATCCAGCCCCAAATCATACCTGTGTTACCACACGGCCCACCAGGGTTGGAGAGAGACACAAAGAGCCACCGACTGAGCACGTGACGGTCCTGGCAAGCACTGAGGGACCCAGACCCACCCGGGCCTCCTCACGTCCCCTCTGATCACGGAAGCCGAGGCCCGGCCCTCACGCCGGGCTCTTCGTCACCGTCCTTTCACCCCGGCAGGAGGCCCGTCTCCTTCTCCACCAGGCGGCTGACGGTGCGCAGGGCCAGGGGCAGGGCCGTGTTGGCGTCGCGGTGGTAGCGGGGCTCGGACACCTCCGTGCTGGGCGTGAGCACGAACTGGGCCACGCTGGGCATCTTCAGCAGGGTCAGCAGCTCAGCGGCCCGCGTGCGCACGGCTCCCGCGTCTTCCTCGCGGCTCGTGGAGCTCGGGGCTGGGCTCTGGGCCGGGGTCCTCATCTTCGACAGGAACAGAGAGACCCTGAGGATGAAGGGACCCAGGTCCGCTGCAGACGTGCCCCGCACGTGGAACGGGGCCCCCAGCTCGTGGGGCTCGAGCTGGAGAAGCGAGGCGGCGACGCCAGCAGCCCTCCCCCCGCGGAGCAGGCGTCCAGGGCCCATTCCCTTACCCACGGGAAGCCTGTGGGTTTCCCTGTCCGGCCGCGACCGTACCTGGGAATCAGGTCTTGGCTCCGGGAGGCCAGCTTGGTCAGCGTGGTCATGAGCACGGTGACGACCTGCGGGGGACACCTGGGAAGGGCGGCCGACGGGCGGGACTGGGTGACCTCGAACAGCACGGCCTCCAGGGCCTCGAAGAACCTGTTGATCTGCTCCACGGTGCACCGCCGGTCCCACGACACGGACAGGTACTCGCCGATGGCCCACACCTGGGTAGGGACAGACCTCAGCCCCCTGCGGGCCGCCCGCCTCGGGAGGGGGGGTGCTGGCAGGGAGGCCGGCCTTACCACGGAGGCGAGCATGGCCCCTCGGCCCTGGATCCCGCTCACGCTCCCCACGAACTCCAGCAGCTCCTTCGCCAGCTCCACCACCAGTGACGGGTGCAGCGCGCACAGGGCCAGGAACCGCGAGCTCAGCACCCTGCCCGGGGAGGACCCAGGTGGGCCGTGGCCGCCCCCAGGCCCCAGGCCACGGCCCCTCACCCAGAACCACAGCCAGGGAACAAAAGAGAAGGCTCTGAGCACCAGGTCGGGGTGCAGATAGTTCTGGCCCCTAAAGGAACCCGCAGCCCCTCCACCCCCAGGGAGGAGGCCGGGGCTGGCGAGCGGCCTGGGCACAGGCCCGTGTGCATCGGGCCCTCCGAACGGAGAACGGGCAGCCCAGAGGGCTCCATGGAGAGGGACCTGGGCCCGCACGGAGATCACAGACCTCGGGGGAGGGACGGACACAGCGACGGAGCGCTGGCCCGGTAGCTGGGCCTGGGGGTGACGCTAGGTGGCAGCTGGAAGGAGGTCAGCCACAGGGGGAGTGGTGACCCGGAGCTGGGACCTGAGAGGGGACACTGAAGCTGCGGGGTGTGGGGTGCGGGGTGTGGGGTGTGGGGAGTGGGGAGTGGGGAGTGGGGAGTGGGGAGTGGGGAGCGGGGAGCGGGGAGCGGGGAGCGGGGAGCGGGGAGCGGGGTGTGGGGTGTGGGGAGCGGGGTGTGGGGAGCGGGGAGCGGGGAGCGGGGAGCGGGGTGTGGGGAGCGGGGTGTGGGGAGCGGGGAGCGGGTTGTGGGGTGCGGGGAGCGGGGAGCGGGGTGCGGGGTGTGGGGAGCGGGGAGCGGGGTGCGGGGAGCGGGGTGCGGGGAGCGGGGTGCGGGCCCACCTGTGCACGTGGGCCTCGTACTGCGGCACCTGAAAGAGGGAGTCGCTTCTCTCTAGGAGCAGCAGCGCCAGCTGTTTGGCCAGGGCCCCGTCGGCAAACTGGGGGTCAGGAGGGAGAGACCGACTCGGTCCCGGTCCCGGTGACATCACCTCACGCCACGCTCTGCTCCGGTCCCAGCCGTGTGCGCCAGTCCCGGGCAGGTCCCAGGGCCCCCGTTCTGGGGAGGAGGACGGGCCCCACCGCGGCTCCCACCCTTCCCCGTGACTCTGGCTGAGGCAGGCTCTGCAGAAGTCCATTGCGAGGATGCCATCCCTGCGCGCGTGTGCAGCCCGTCCTCCCTCCGGGCTGCCCCGGGGCCGTGGGCGTGTGAGGCTCACCTGGGTCACCGCTGAGAAGAAGGCCTCAAGCAAGGTGGGCACGGCCTGGGCGCACTGGACCACACGGGCGCAGCTGGCCAGGGGCTGCAGCAGCCGGTGGAGTGGCCCCAACCTGGAGGACACAGCGTGGCCCATTGAGTCTCCGCCCACACGCTCCCCAGAGCCCACACACACGCCCTCAACACATGAACGGTGGGCCGGGGCCTGAGGGAAGAGATGGCGGTCAGAGCGCCACGGCCCGGGCCACGTTCTGTGACACCGGCCTCCTCAGAGCAGGGCACGTGTCACCACGAGCGTCTTCTACCGCAGCTCTGCCCCCGTCACCAGGATGGAACACAGGGAGGGCTGGAGTGGGGCCAAGCTGCGAGGGATCTGCAGTCAGGATGCCCTGTTCTGGTCCCTAGGCTCCTCCTCCCGGGGCATGCTATGCCTCAGTTTCTCCATCTGTGCAATGGAATCTCCACGGCACGTACCTCGCAGGGTCACGACCCAGGGAGCCGGCAGGGAGCTGAGCACTAGGCCCACGTCCAGGGAGCACCCATGATGTGGCCATTGCAGGGTGGCGGGGCAGGGGGGGTCGGCCACGCCTGCCTCTTCGCGTCAGGAGGCACAAGGCCCAGGGGCAGAAGCAGGGTCCCACCATCCTGGAGCACGCTCTGGCCACACACAGCAGGTCCCAAGGCCTCGGTGCCGCACCCCAGAGTCCCCCCACCTCTCCGTGGTCCCGCTGGCCGTGGCACGCAACAGGTACTGGAGAAGACCCTGGAACTGGGGGTCCCGGGAGGCCTCCAGGCAGCTGGGGATCTTGAGGGAGGGGTCCCACAGCGGCCTCTCGGATGTGGCTGGCGACAACCTGTGAACAAGCAGGTGCCTGAGGCCGGGCTTAGCTCGTGGAAAGACAGAGCAGACGTCTCCGGGATATCACAGCACCTGAGCCAGCAGGCCTCAGGGTGATGGGAGCGGGCCCGGGGCACGGTGTCTACAGGGCGAGGCTCCACCTGAGAGAAACGGGCTGGGGGCTCCAGGGCCCGGGGATGGCGCCGACCGGGAGGCAAAGAGCCAGAGGGAGGCGCTGTCATCGGGGGCAGAGCAGCGGGGGCGGGGAGGGGCCGAGGCACGCCCCCGGGGCTCACCTGAGCTGAAGGTCCAAGGCCGCAGTCAGACAGGGCAGGTCCAGCAGCGCATGAAGCACCTCCACGGCTGTGTCCGCGTCCACCAGCGATGGCAGCAGAGCCACAAACTCGGCCGTGAGCGGCGGGCTGTTCCAGGCCAGGAGCTGCAGGGACAAGCGAGGCGGCTCGATGGGAACGGGAGGGCCCGTGTGGGGTGCACAGCCCAGCAGCAGGGCCGTCG